TGAGTAAGACTCTGCTGGTGCTGGGAGAGAAAGTTCCTCGTGATTTGCCGGTGTGGTTTCCGCTTGACAGTGGTGTGGAATGTAATAACTATCTTTATCATCCAATAACACTTTCTACGGTATATATCGCTTGTGTGATAACTTTCATAATCTACTAAGCAATATCCCATCTCCCTATCCCATGGGAGATATCACTTTACATGGATTTGATTTATACCCAAAGAATTATATTTATTTGTTCGTGTAAGAAAGGGTTTAGTGAAAAATAAAATCTTCTACATGTCTCTTTTGATATCAAAACAAATGTCAATACTCGTCGATAAAGTAAAAATAAAACCTCAGATAAAGCCAATGATCCGTAGTAGCTTAGGGAAACCCTAGGGTTGTATAGTCTATATTATATTAATAATTAATTTAATGACAAAATCCACATATTCAACTTTACATTGAACTGGATCTGACATGATATAGCCTTGAATGTGTACTGTAAAAGGTTGGAATGGCCTTGATGTAGTCATCTACTTCTGAAATCCGTACTCTACAATGAGAACAACAAATTATACAAATTATTAAAATTCACATCCATTGAAAAATTAAATTGATTCGAAAATACAGGTACAATTCTATAAGAGCCAAAAATAATTTTTAAGATCTATTGTATATAATTTAAAATATCTGTTATTTCTAATATTTACTGTTTGTTTCTTCTTGGTATATAGCTAGAACTGGGTCCGGTTCCTAGCTAGAACTGGGTCTGGTTCCTAGAAAATTCTTAAGTAAGCATAAGAGCCAAAAATAATTTTTAAGATCTATTGTATATAATTTAAAATGTCTGTTATTTCTAATATTTACTGTTTGTTTCTTCTTGGTATATAGCTAGAACTGAAACCGGTTCCTAGAAAATTCTTAAGTAAGCAAAGAGTCATGCTTCACTTTTACTTACGTAAGAAACTTTATAAAATACCGTCTCTAGAAAATTCGCAAGACCATTCTTACGTAAGCACACGTCAAGAATGAGTCAAAGCACACTGTGCCTGGTAAATTTGAACGCGCAAACACCAGAGAGGCTAGAGAACTAGCAATGGAACTAATGGACGCTAAATTGGACGGACCATCTCAAATTTTACACAGGTGGATCAAAAGATGCCACAAAAGGAACAACATGATATAGCATACACATACTCAAAGCAAGGCTGAATATCAGGAAAAGGCTACCATAACATTGTTCTGTTCACCGTAGAACTGATGGCCATTAAAACTGCACTGGAATGACTATCTATGCATATACAACGTACGGAAAAATGGTTGTGTTAATCGAGCAAATATTTACAATTCACATGTTGATCTACGTTATCTCGGGAAAGACAATTAAAAAATAAATTTGGACATATTTATTTTCTAATAAATCAACATGAAAGGGGGTTCAAATTTAGGGAACATGATAAATTAGCCCATCTCTGATTATTGAAACAAATACGACCATAAACGAGAGATTTACACCAATGATGTCACTACTCATAGATGAACCGTTGTACTTCCATTTTAGTATAATAAGCAAATCTTATTATATACAATTAGATTAGCTCCACAAAAATTTGAGAAGTGGTATCAGGTGTTCCAGTATGAGTGCCCACAACAACCCCCCCCCCCACCTATAGAACACGAAGTGATAGTTCCGACTTGAACTTCGGATAACCTTGAACCAATGCTCACCAGCAAAGTCACTGTAAATCGAAAAAGGTTATACACATGCACATAGGCGTACTGGTTAGGAGGCGGGGGAGCAGGAGGCGGGGGAGCAGCTGCCCCCTAACTTTCGAGCAGGCGGGTCAAGTGAAAACAAAAAAAAAATCATCTAGTTCGCAAAATAAAGTGTCCGAAATCTAATAAAAGACTAATTTTACTTTCTTTCAATTAAATACCAGGAATTTCTACTGAATTGACTATGGATTAAAACATTTTTTTTTGGAGTCACTTTTCGGGCATCGATTATTATTTGTGAATGCAGTTCAGGGATCGAACACCCGACCCCCAGGCTAGCGAGACAGCGTCTTACATCCTTAGCCACCGTGATACCCCCATCCCAAACGCAAACGCGTTTTGCTGACGTGAATCGTGATATTGGGAACCTAATGTATTAACATCTTCCTTTATAGGTGGATAACTGTTAGGGGGAGGAGGGGGCAGAATTCGAAATGCCCGAAAAAAATCGGGTTAGCCCCCCCCCCCCAAAAAAAAAAAAAATTCATGACCGGAAACGCATTTTCCTGCTATTCTAGCCCGTGAAAAAAGCAACTTCTAGTGTCTGGAGAAAATTAAAAAAATTTAATTGTCTCAAACGCGTTTTCCTGCTCTTCCAGCCCTTGAATATAGCAACTTAAATGTGGACCAATGTAGCTTACCTTAGGTGGCTGACCCGAATCCCACACAAACAAACAATCGTCGTGGGGGGTGGGGGTGGGGGTCTCTCCCTCCTGCAGAAAAGTTTGAAAATGTAACTATCGCAAATGTGTTTTTTCCGTTATTCTAGTCGGTGAGTTAAGCAACTCCAAAGTTGTCCAATGGTTTTGTTACCGAAATCCCACTTCATTTCAACCATTCAATGAAATTTTTGCAGCTGCATCTAGGATCGACATTTATTCTCAATTTATTTATTTCCTATGTGCATAATGGACGCACGTATATGTCATAGACGGGACATGTTTAAGGAACCTGAAATATTGGGGCATAGAGGGTCCAGAAGGTTGTCTCCTTCAAGGATGTGAAAAATAATTTTTGAACTTTGTATACCTTAGAGTTCTGATTCGAGTTTCTACCGAAATGAAGATTGAAATACCAAATTGCTTAATTCATGTTCCAAAAGTATTGTTTGGTTGGAGTAAGTAGTTCATAATATTTATGTCTATTGACCAATTGAAAGTTGACCAGCGTGTCAATAAGGTTACAATATTCTCAACTCTGCATTGATTGCTAAAAATCAACTTCATCCACAATGTCATTATTCAAAATATTATAATCTCACTACTAATTCTGATTCTAATGTGAATACTTTGTTTTGTGATGTGAAAGCTTCGCCTAAGAGCGATTGTCATCGGTTGTTGATCTTATGGGCGACGTTCTTCGTAAGAAGTCCAAGACTCAGCCAAGTACCACCGATATGAAAATTAGCATACTTGTTCCTTGGATAATGCGCATCTCTTGGTGGACTTCGATATTTTTATATGATGACACAATTCCAAGATGGTCTTGATGACGCCATACCGTGTTCTTGGTCTATAATACGGCGGTACTTATTTTTGCAAAGCATCGGGGCACTTGTCCCTCTATTTATTTTTCTAAAAGAATTGCCCTGAATGGATAATATCATGGCTTACTATGTCTACTGGAACGGCAAATTGGTTATATCACATTGTCAACCCATAAAACAAACCAACATATCAAATCAAATAATATCGATACAGAATTTTTACCCAAAGATGTTCTATGCCAATTTGAAGCATTCTAGGGTTAGCAGTTTTTAATGGAGCTAGACTCAATATTTTCAATATTATTTGGAATTAAAAACATGAATTAGAATTCAATATTGTCCATTTCAATCCATATCGATATTGTTGCCGTGAAAATAGGATCCTAATACCCAATATTTAAGACACAATGAATTAATATCAGTACACGAGTCGTGTATACAATCATTTCATGCGCCATTTGTAATATGAAAGGGGTTTTGAAATTAGATTGTTTGTATGGTTTGAGACAAATAGGTGAACCCATTGTTAATTTAAGATACATGTGTTTTAAGTTCAGACAAATGAATCGGACCAGTTTTCAAGAGAACCATATCCTACCTCTTTAATCACCTCTGCCAGTACATGTTAACTTATATTAAATCATTATTTTTTTCCGAGTTGCCTTTGGTTTCAAGGATACATAGAGATAATATCAGATTAATATAACAAAAATGTCATCAGTTGCTTAGTCATGTTTAAATTGGGAGATAATCACAAGGGTTTGGACAAACAAGACCCTTATATATATATATAGGTCCGATGGAGTTAAGCAATTCGGAGATAATCTGGTGGTTAAGATAAAAGGTTAACCCAGGTGTATAACATTGTGTTTTTGAAGGTAAGTTATCATTGTAAAACAATTTTAAAAGAAAATAATTTACGTATAATATTTCTAAAATATTTTTGTAGTAGGATTAGATCTATATAAACCGTAGTTTCAAATTTATTTCCAAATATTTTGGGTGATTTTCAAAGTAGAATGCAATAGCTTTAATTCATTAAATCGCCATTTATTATTGGAAATCCAAATAGATCTTCCATTGGTATACGAAAAATCAACGTATACTTATTGCAACGTACTCGAAAGGCGGCAGCATCAACAGAATGTGTTGCAGTTGTTACATATTCACATCAATATGAATTGCTACTCATTTTATGAAAAGCTGCGAAAGAAGAGACCGATAGCGGATCTAGAATCTGCGAATAAGGTACGGGAGGGGTAGGGGGCCAAATCTAAGGGACCATCAACAATCTCACCCCACAATGAATGTCACCAAAATACACGTAATTAAATGGAAAAAAAAATACTGTGCTCCCCGGTATAACATAGATCGTATTGCCTATATACTTGTTCGCCGATCGTTATTTTTCCGTAAAGCATTTTTTTTTCAAATTGACATAAAGTTTGTCATTTTTATGATTCTATTGAGTTTGTTATTGATTTTTTTTTTTTTTTTTTGGATGTGAACCTTAAGGGCATCCTTGGATAGAATAATTTATTATAAGTATTTCTCGATTTGTTAACCTTTGCAATATTTAATTTTCTAAAGAAAACCTATGTTCACCTTACATCACAACATGCTTTGACGACCTTTGCTTCCTTTTACTGAAAAGTGCCGCTGTTGTGCGTATATCCTTGTTTGAAAATTCAATGTTTACAAATTGTTCCAATTTTTAATTTTGATTTCTTACAGATAGAATATGAAGCTAGCAATGCTTCGCGTTTTTGCAATTGTCATAGTCAATATTGTCTATACAAATGCTTACGCTGGATATCAAGAAAGGATACCAAATGGTGATCATGTACCACATCCCTGTAAACCAAATTTTGTCTGGAAGGGTGTCGGCCATTTAAACATGGCTGGTGGTGGAGAGAGGAACGCCTTTGGCCAGGATTTTGCAAAAGCCAACCATGAGGTTACAGAATTGCCTAATGTCTACAAAATTTGATTTCTAATGAAGATATCACGAATTTCACTAAATTATTTATATTGTATTAGCCGTAATTCTAAAATAAAGCTATTATCATTTTCATTAACTAGTCGGGTGAATGACAACCATGCATATTCTATCTTCAGATACGCCTGATTCATCTTTAAAGACTTTTCGTACACGTTGATGGGATTTGTTTTCTTTCGCATTTCAATTCAAAGGCACATAAGCCCTACTCCTACTTAGTATGTATGTGTCAGACCAAGTTGTTTTGCTAAATAGGTTAACCTATAAAGCTGCAATTTTAAATTTAAAAAAAATAGTAACATGTCTATCACCGGCCCTGTATCAGTGAATTGTTAACCTGGTTGGTACCTGTTGTTAGCCATTACTCGTAGGTGTTAATTCCCCTCTTGAGATCCAGGTGTACACTATAGCTCCAAACAGCTATAAAGACTTACACACACCTATGATTATTTCTGAACACACCACGGTATAGCCCGGTTTCTTCTGTTTTCACTTCTGACTTAATGTTTCGCAATGCACGCTTTGATAGATGCCCCTGCATTTAGCTTTGCATAAACCAATCATTTTCAAAAAGATGAGCGCTTAATTAAATATTGTTATAACATTGGCGGTGTATTATGTTATTTCATTTGACTGTCGAATTTATGGTATAAAAAGAAAAATGATGCTATTTCAGTTGTCTATAGAATTATATCTGAAAGATGGTGTATGTAATATAATAAATAAATGTATATGGTTATTTTAGTGGACTGTAGAATTTTGTGAGAAAGATTCAGATGGAGATGGAATAAGTAATGGTGTAGAATTGGGGGATCCAAACTGTGCCTGGACACCTGGCACGGTTCCTCGCCACGTGACCGGTATAACACACCCCGGTGTTTGTGATCCGTGGGGAAGTGCCGAATGCAACGAGAAAAATTCCTGGGTTAAATGTGATAGCGACGAATTTAAATGCCCTGCAATACATGAAGAAGGTAACTAATTACAAATTTCAAAATTAAAGTACGAATACGTTAAATATAATAAAAAGAAAATTTATAATCTATGTATGTAATAATAAGTCGCTTGTTTCAGGAGTACAAAAGATGGATTTCCGATTCCCATGGACCAATGTTCCCGACAAAGAAACGACCTATATGTGTATGGGTTTTGATTTACCAAATGGCGGAGACTATCATATGATCGCAACTACGCCAATTATCAATGAAACACGAGTAATGCACCATATAGTTCTTCTTGCCTGTGAAGAGGATTGTAAGCTTTCATTTTCCCATTTCAAAATCATTATTAAAAAAGGCGACTTAAACAGTTTAAGAAACTCTAAGAAACATATTCCTGAATTGAGATCAGCTATTAATAATTAACTGTACACTGATAAAAAATATCAGAAATTCAGATAATGTGTCTGACAGCGATCTGCGAAACTCACCTCGCAGTTAACTTTACTTAATTGTGACGTTTACTTTATATTATGGGAAGAGAGAGAGAGAGAAATGGAGTTTAACGCCCACTCGACACAAACTAGGTCATTTCGGGACTAACATATTGTTTGATTTTATTTACATAATTCGCTTGCGCGTAGGGGTCTTTAGCAGTGGGAGGAAACCGGAGGACCCGGAGAAAACCCACGAGGTTGGACAGGCGACCCTACTCCTTGCCACGTACAACCGGGGATTCGAAACCACGCCAGTCGATATTATGGGAAGACATGGCGACAGCAAATCTGTTAATCAAGGAAATGATATGTATAAAACTATAATTTATTCAGTCAATTCTTGTCATAAGGATTATAGCCATAACAGTCGCGAGAAGCCAACGATATCAATGAATTGTTTTCGTCATATTATAAGCTGTTCTGTGGAAATTAGTAACTTGACCCAGTTTCATATCGGGTTAATCTCAAGATCTATTTTAAACCCTGTGATATCAAAAGTTAGAGTGTTCTTATCTTATCCGTAGTCTTAGGATTAGATTAATAACTTAACCCACTAGATTAACCACTTAACCCATTAGATTAACCACTTAACCCACTGAACAAGAATTGATAGTGCAGAATTTCATATTGTTGGCATTTGTTGTTACAAAATTTCACCTTTATTCAGTATCAGCCACATTGGTTTAATACAATTCTTAACTACACAAGTCGTCCACAGCAATTTTTTTGTATATTTCCAATATGGGTATTTTGGTAGATTGACATTTCTTATGACTGATCCTAAAATCCCCACATGTTTGAAAAAAAAATCAAAATTACTGAAATATGGAGCGCTTATAAAATACGTAGACAAAGCGACGGTCAGTGGTGAATTGAAGATACCAAATATTGTCTATATTTTACCTATTAATTCATATAACAACTCTTCGTTAGTACACCCCTTGTTCTAAGTGAAGGTGTCGCTGTCATATGGAATAATCTTTTCTAAATTTGTTGTCGTTGACCGGTTTTTCAAGGGTGATCATCAAGGGAAAGTGGACCTATTTGATCGGTGGGACGAGCATCGGATGTTCATCTGTATACACAAAGAATTCCAGACTGTTGGAATTCGAAGAAGAATAGGGGGACAATCACGCATGCGCCCAACGTACGCACATTGTACACATAACTATAATCAAAATTATAATATATTAATAAATGATCTGGGATATCAAACTCGACCCCATTACCGTTCCTTTTATTATGCGTATGCGTATATATTTTTTATTTTGAATAATGGTATTTTATTTTGAATATATATATATATATATATATATATTATTTCGAATATGAATATATATATATTTCTGCACACTGCTTTGGTTCTGTAATTGTTCAATACAATTATAGTAATTTTTTTATTGATAGCGGAGCAAATAACCAGCCCAAGGGAATGTTCGATGGGGTTAAGAGGTTGCACAAAAGCCATAGGAATATGGACATTAGGTTTACCAGGAGAATGTTTCAACAAGGAGGCTGGCTTTAGAATTGGTTTAAATGGTATGAAAAAAGGGGTACTTCAGGTATGGTATCTTTGGCTATTTTATAAGGTACCCCTCTTCTATTGCAAAGACGCTAGAGATTTGTGTACTTTGTTTCATTTCATGCATCAAAACATAAAAGTTCAGAAACCAACATTTCTGGTTTGCATATCCTGGGCATACCCGGTAACAATTCGACCGACAAAGTGCAGGTATATTTTACAGAAATACTAATATCTAAAACTAATTTTGGTGACTAATAACGGTGAAACAAAAATATCTAACATAAAGAGTATATATTATATGGCTTACAATGAACATTACATCTGATTTAACAGTTTCATTGGACCAACCCAGAGAGAAAGGCTGATTTATGGGATGCATCTGGTATGACTATCTACTACACCGACAAGTTGAGAAAATATAATGCCGGTATTTGGATAACAGGTCAAGTTTATCTTGAAATCCCACCGTTGATGCCAAAAGTTGTCCAGCATTCAACCTGTTCCTCGCATTGTACTAAGAAAACTTTTAACAGTTCCATCTTCCTTACAACTGGTTTAAATCATATGCACTACTTGGGTAATTTCTATATTTCATTAATCCGTTTGAGCGTAGAGGTCTTTAGAAGAGGGGGTGGGGTGAGTAAATCAGCAAAGAAGAAAAATTTGACGCCCAAGTCTTCTGTTTTAACATCGTGTACACACACACACATCTGTCATTGATGGAGTGCGTGCCACTTCGTCCACACTCAGCGCTGTCAAAATGAAAAGTTTGGTTAATTTTTCAACAAATTCAAAATACGTTGGTTGAGTCGTCAACACGGTATTGGTTATGCCATCGTCCTATTGTCTGACACAATCCCCTCTATTATCACAGCACAATGCAGCTTCTGTGTCACCTAACTCGATCGCGTCACTATTAAACTGGGAAGTAGTTATATATGTTAGCGGGAAATATTCATTTATTTATTTAAACGTTAAAGTGGAAATTATTAACGTGTTTAGCCGGAAAATATATTGATATTTAAGCAGGTAATATCTATTTCTCGGTTCATTACATATTTATTGGGTGCAACCAATTAACCACGTTCAATGCAATGCTAAAATGTAGATTTTCCGACAGGCATATCCCAATATGTGAAATTAACAAGATCAGATGGATCTGAGCTCATGATCACCAATGATGAACATTATAGCTACGATACACCTGTCCTTAACCAGTAAGTGCTTTATAATCAAGTTTTCACTTTAAAACGGTTGGCGAGCCGCGGAGACCATGGATGGATGTGTGCTAGCGATGCGGATATATACTTTTCAAAAAGAGTAGGGGGTCTGTTATGGTGTGGGGAGGAATCACCATGACTTGCACAACGGACTTGCATATTGTTCTAGGAAGGGTCACTGGTGTATACTACCGTGACAACATCCTGGCACCGATAGTTCCGCCCTTCGCTCAACCCACCGCGCCCGTGTCGTGAATGACTACCTCCAGCGTCATCATACATGTATTGTCCATATTATATGCCTTGGTCAGCCATGAGTCCTGACCTGTCCCCTATAGAGCATGTCTGGGACATGATCTGGAGACGTGTTCGTCGACGCCAACGTCAACCGACAACACTACAAGAATTGGCAGTGGCACTGCAAGAGGAGTGGGTCAGATTGCCCCAAATCTTGATTGGACGGTTGATTAGGAGCATGCTGATAGTCTGAGGATTGGTGGAGCATTTACTCATTATTAAGACCAAAATAAAAAACGTCCATTTTCACTTTTGACATACGAACTGTTTATGTTCATGTGTAGGCAATTGACCTGTTATTAACATACACTGGTTACCTCTAATAAAAACAACAATGCATTTCCGCAATTTTGTATTGTTTCTGAATATCCCTTACTTGTTTTGAAGAGTATATATGAGAATATATGAAAATACTAGTTCCATTATTAGTTATTCAATATATAGTGAACTTGAGTTATGTGTGTTGAATAGATAGTCTAAGCTTAAAGTAAAATATCATCTCTAATTAACTTTATTTTACACCAGGTACGACACACCAATAGAAGTTAAACCAGGTGATAGCTTAGAAACGGTTTGTACCTATAGATCTATATCTAGAAAGAAGACCGCTGTATATGGAGAGGGCACCTTTGATGAAATGTGTTTTGGTATTTTTAACTATTACCCCGAGGAGGCTGTTACAGCAGGGAGTTGTTTGACACGCAAAAACTTTGAATATTGTGATCTTTTTGATGGAAAATGTGATTTTCAAGCGATTAGGAATATGTCTAACCCCGATACTAAACAATTAACGGACAAGGTTAGTACGTTTTATGTTCCATTCAAGCAAATTACTCGAAGAGCTTGAGGACAAATATGACTGTGAATGGGGCGTTTCTCTACGAGTAAAGCGCTAGCTTACTAACAATGGTCTCCCGGATTCGCTTCCGGTGTTGATCAGCAGTTACCTACTGATTTTTCAGCTTAGGTTTGCTTTGTCAGTTTTGCAGGATGAAAATCATGACTTAGAATGTCGGTATTAGTTTGGGTGGGACGTGTACACGTTAGAATGTAAGTAAAAGAGCCCTTGAATTCGACGAATGAAGAGTACCGATTGTCGGGGCAAAATTTCCCTGCATAACGTATGTCAGTCTCCATTGGCCCGATTGGTGCAGAAAAATGGGATGTTAATCATTTTATATCATTTGTTTCGTTTCTAAATTAGCTTATAAATTTCAAATAGAGATATGTCTTATATAATACATATATTTTCAATTTTCTCTTTATGTCATTGCATCGGATTGAGATATCGATTGTTAGTAATAGTTTAACATAAATCTAAGGTTAACACAAGAAATCCATTGTCGTAAACCACACATTCTAAACATTGCCTCACAAAGCAGTATACAGGTATTCCCGGATTTATCCAACGATAAATTTATCCAGTTTTTTCTCCAAATTGGGGCAAATTAGTATGATTACAGAAGCTATCCAGACTGTAAAATATATATCTATGATGGAGTCATGGTTTTCATAAGATTTTATTTCGTTTTTCTGTTCAGGTTATGGATAAATGTTCCTATCAGGGAGAATGTCTTCATGGTTGTAGAGCTGTTGTAATAGATGTGTTGACAAATCACGAATGTTTTAAGAATGGATTGGCAAAGGGTATTACGTACAACAATTTACTTTCAAGAGGTGTCGATGACCCCAGTACAGTGCCTGCTATGCGCTTTGTAGCTGCTATGCAATCATGTGACTGCAGTACCGAGAACCCTATTAACTATGTTGCTCAGATAGGTGACCCCGAAATACCCAGTTCTGGTTACACCATAACAATGTCATTTACTCTGTTAACCAGTTTGTTGCTCTTGGAATCCATGTAAATCTTGTATATTGAAAGTGTATTAAGGACATCACTTTTATTTTAATCTCATTTTTGACACGGATTCTTACTTTCCAGTCTTAGAGTTGGCGAAGGATAAATTAGAGTTTACTGTATTTCTTCATATGTTTTAATTGTCTATTCTGAAAATACAATTTTCATTTAAAAAAGGAAAGGTCCTTATTAAGTGTTTTAGTTTTTATACGTATATTGTCGTCGCCCCTGTCCGTCCGTCCGTCTGTCTGTTCACAATTAGGTTGTGGACACTGTACAGTTCACAATTCTTATCAGATTTGGACGAAACTTGAAATATAGGTTTATCTCCAAACGATCTCGGTTCCTTTCGATATTGGCATATATCGGATGGAAACTTCATGGATTATGGCCCCTGATTGTGCGAAAAATCGCGTTAATAGCCTGTGGTCCCTCTAGAGGTCACAATTATTACCCGATTTAAAAAAAAACCTTTTGGATATATCACCGTTACACCGTAGTATGGTTGAGTTCAAATTTCGTGAAAATCGGACTAAAACTGCCGTAGGCTAATAGTGTAAAAAATTGTGGACTCTCTAGATGTCACAATTTTCACCCGATTTTGATGAAACTTGAAAGGTATGTTTATAACCCAACGATCTTGGTTCCATTCCATAATCGCGCATATCGGATCGTAACTTCCTGAATTATGACCCCTGATTGTACGAAAAATCGCGTTTTTAGCTTGTGGTCCTTCTGGAGGTTACAATTTTTATCCAGTTTCAAAAAACGTTTTAGTATATCACGATATACCCTAATGATTGGGTTCTATTTTCGTGAAAGTCGGATCAAAACAGTCGGACAAAATGGCCGCCCCTTGTACGCAAATAGTGTAAACATCTGGTATATCAAGGTTGTGGACCTCCTAAAGGTCATAATTTTGATCCAATTTTGATGAAACTTGAAATGCATTTTTATAACCCAAAAATCTCGGTTCCTTTCGATATTCGCGCATATCGGACCATAACTTCCTGAATTATGGTCCCTGATTATACGAAAATCGCGTTTTTAGCTTGTGGACCCCATAGAGGTCACAATTTTTATCCGATTTAAAAAAAAAAGTTACAATATATCACCGTTACACCCTAGGGATGGCTGAGTTCGAATTTCGTAAAAATCGGGCCAAAACTGACGGACAAAATGGCCGCCCCTCGTTCGCAAATAGTGTCAAAATATTGTGTATCAGGGTTGTAGACCCTCTTGAGATCACAATTTTCATCTGATTTTGATGAAATTCGATATGCATGTTTATAACCCACAGATCTTGGTTCCTTTCGTTATTCGCGCATATCGAACCATAACTTCCTGAATTATGGCCCCTAATTGTACGAAAAATCACGTTTTTAGCTTGTGGACCCCATAGAGGTCACAATTTTTATCCGATTTAAAAAGAAACGCGCATATCCGAAGGTAACTTCCAGGATTACTGCTCCTGATTGTTTGAAAAATCGCATTTTTAGCTTGCAGAATTTTTTTTTCCGATTTTAAAAACCGATTAAATATACTATTCAAAAAAAGTAGGGGATATTTGATTTTTAAGTGTTATTAAAGTCACCTAATGAAACTGACGAAGAAACAAATGACAAAATGAAATGAAGTTCACATTCATCGATTTATTCCAAATGATCGTTAGACTAAGTAAGGCACAGACTGACCATTATAAGGGTAAACTGATACCCGGGGTCAAACAGCAAAGTTACCACAGCATCACAACCAAGTCAGTAACGGGTAAATCCTCCTCTGTTTGCCAAACAAGCATTGATCCGACGTGGCATACTCCTAATGAGACGTCTAAGGTCATTTTGGTCCAGATTGTCCCATTCCTGTTGCAACGCAGCAGCAAGTTCTTGGACATTGGCAGGACGTTGTTGACGTTGACGTAACCTCTGTCCAAGCATGTCCCAGACATGCTCGATGGGGGAGAGGTCGGGACTCAGTGCTGGCCAAGGTAATGTGGTGATGTTCTGTTGTTGGAGGTAACCTGTAACGATCCTGGCCCTGTGACATCTTGCGTTGTCATGCTGGAAGATGAAACGGCGGCCATGACGTCGTGCGAACGGCACAACATGGACTGCCAAGATGTTGTCCCGGTAGTACTGGCCTGTAACACGCCCTGCAACAACATGTAAAGCCGTTCTTCCAGCAACAGTGATGCCTCCCCACACCATAACAGAACCACCCCCAAATCGATCATGTCTGATGACGTTAACGTCTTGGAAGCGCTCGTTTCGACGACGCCACACCCTCCTACGTCTGTCCAAAAAATCAACAGTGAACCTTGACTCATCTGAAAACATCACATTGCTCAAGCGTCGATTATCCCAGTGTTGACGATCCCTACACCAACGACGTCTTGCCTGAATGTGATGATCTCTCAAACAAGGGATCACGCGAGGACGTCGGGCGCGAAGGTGACCCCTATGCAGTCGATTCCGAATCGTTTGGCCACTCACTCTCACACCAGTGTCTGTTTGAAGACGAGCGCTGATCTGATTTGCTGTGATGACACGATTTCTCAAGGCCAAGGTACGGATAAATCGATCCTGGGCTTGAGTTGTCGACCTGAGCGTGGTCTGTCCTGTACAGATTGTGTATCACGGTATCTGGACCATAGCCTGCTTATGACAGACTGAGAAACATTCATCGTCCGCGCCACAACCGCCTGTGTTGTGCCGATCTGTAGCATGCCAAGGGCACGTAACCTTTCATTTTGGGTAAGCCGACGCATATCAAAATCTGTTTTCTGGTCACTAAAACAATTAAACTGATGTTTCCACCCTGGAATTCAATGCCACAATGACTGTAACATTCAAAGTCAGAGTCGTGCAAATCTTGGGTTGGACCCCCATGATGATCCCAAGCATCACCTGCATTCCATGCGGTAGCTATTGCTGCGTTTGGGCGTCACATGTGACTGGAAATGTTTCTTCTGTTAGGTTCTATAGTGACCTTTTTCGTAGTCATTTGCATATTTTAGTATTATGCCCCCAAAATCAAATATCCCCTACTTTTTTTGAATAGTATATATCACCATTCCACCATAATGAAGGTTGAAATTGAAACATGTTGTGACAACTCCGCAAGTTCATCTTCAAAGTTTGACAGATTCTAAAATTCATTTACTCCTAACATGTGCAATAGCGCAAATTCTACTCCCACGTACAGAATATTCCACATATTCCTCATTGAATCTTGGTTGAGACCAGACCCATTTTCTGCATGTAATCCCCAGTGTCCATATCCAGCTAATTCTTCAAAATCGGACAACAAATCGCCATCATATGATCATCACTCCATATGCTTAGTTAGTTCATATTCTGTTTCTCCGCTTTATAAAATGAAACTCTCCTGCAAGTTCAGTAATAAGCAGTAATGGTATTCCATAAAATTGTGACCTGTATAAGTTCATACGGGTAGAGCTAATTTTCGTATTCTCAATACGGCAAAGACGAGGTCTTGGGTTGCCAGACTGCATTTATGAAGATATGGAACCGGTCGAGGTCATTCCCGGTTCCCCATCAGAAGCGTCGTCGCTTCATATTTAAAACAATAACTAATTTTGGCGTACAGGGAGATGCCAATCAAATTCTAGATTTATACGGAAAAGAACGAAAGCATAGTGTTGTCACTACATAATTTAGGCGCTCGACTTATAATTAGTACCCTTCAGCATGAACATTCATTTTAACAAATATTGGCTGTCTGTTAAAGTAACGATGCGTCCTTAGCATTTCAAATTTCTCACTTCTTAATCCACGCTGACTGAACATAATCAAAATACCAACACTAGATAACCTACCGGTTGGGATTCAGTCGAGTTTTATTGTTTAAAATAAGGCATATAATTTCTATTGGCACACAGCCAACTTTGTAAATACTGAACGGAATTGAACCATTTTTGTACCGATTCATCTTTCCCAATATTCTAGATGACAATGGAATCATTTTGCTTAAAATGTGTAGCACTATGTGTCGCTGGTTAGATTTGGAAATCCAACAGACCCAAAATTCCCCGCAGCCGACGCATACCATCTTCTGCTACATATTTTATTAGCCTTGTGATCGTCTAGTATTGTCTCTGGTTATATTTGTAATTCTCTTCTTTTGGCTACGACCCCTTTTCACGTTGTGTTACTTGTGTATCTACCAGAAGTAACAATACAACAGTTCGTTTCTACATTTCATATCAAACACTGGATACATAGGTTACAAGCATAGATTAAAATAAAAGTCATTCTCTACTCTCTCAACCCCACCATTTTGCAGAGCTAGTTGACTGACGGCTATGAACATCGCATGGCTCTCCTACGACTTAGCGGGACATTCTGAATCCAGATGGTGTCTCTTCAATCTCAACGGTATCGCTCTCTCAGTGCATGCCTCTAAGAAGCTACACGGTGTCTAAAAATCGCCCACAGCTCAAGTGTTTTAATCATTGACAGTGTCCTTGAGACAGCCCTGTCAATTATTTAATTGGACAAATATTACGTAATTAATTATCATGATTGGTTACTAAGCTTAATGACGTCGAGAACCACCCATAAACAACAACAACACCTTCAATCCGCATCGATGGCATCCCGGTTTTAACTTGTTTTCATTATGACAAAGTGAGAAGATGACCCGCCCTCTCTTCTCACGGCTGAGTTTTAAAGTGACTTTTGATATTATACAAGAACCTTTTTATTATTAGTGTTTTTACCCATTTTCTGTATATTACTCCTTCATATGTAAATAAACCAACCTGTTCATAATATTATACAGTATTATGTATTGGACGTTAAATTTGTAATAAACAACAACAACAGAATCCCCCTTATATGGACAGTAGAAACTTTCCACCAAGAGTGTCACTCTCAGACGTGTTACCTTGTTTTCATCCTAGAAACAAATGTTTATCAATTTTAAACTGTTGTATATATAATCCTATAACTGTTTTATATCTAACCCTAGGACTGGGTTAATATTGTCAACACCATTTTTCTTTTAAGGATGTGTTATGTGTAATGAGCTCCTCGGTTTGATATTGTATCTCTTT